GAACGACTCTCCCGGTACAGCTGCACCGGAAGACAGGCAAGCCTATCCACCAGATCCAAACGAGGCGTCGGACCAGGCAGTCTGCCGAATCTGCCTCGAATCCGCCTCGAGCGGCGCGGCGGGTGAATCGCTCGGCCGGCTTCTTTCGCCATGCAAATGCAAGGGCACCATGAAGTACGTCCACGCATCCTGTCTCGACACCTGGCGCGCCGCATCTCTACGCTCTTCTTCCGCAGTCGCTTGCGACCAGTGCGGCGCTCCCTACCGCTTCCGCAAGTCCAAGTTCATCGGCATAGCCACTTCGCCCACGCTGCTCTTCCTCGTCAGCCTCTTCCTCTTTCTGATGCTCATATGGACGGTGGGTGCAGCCGCAACTCTCGTCATGGATCTCTACGACAAACCAGCCACCATCGCCAAGACTGAAAAGCGAGGCTGGTGGCCATGGAGGTCCGACGACGATCCCACCATTTCCCCAGTCGAGACCGACGCATGGTCCTACCTCGATGCAGATTACGCCACACCTGGGCTGTGGAGCTACAGCAACCTCATATACGAGCCCGCAGCCTATATCAAGCTCGTCAAGGATGCGGTGCACGCCTTCGCCTCGGGCGAAGCCGCCGACGCTGTCCGCGAAGTCGTCGGGCTTCAAGACCAGCCCGAACAGGCGCAGCCAGCCGATGAAACGCCGCAGCAAGGATTCTGGTCCGCGCTCAAGTCCGAGTGGATGCACGGAGACGGAGGTTTGTGGCCGTCCAAGTCGACGTCGCTACAGCCAGATGCTTCCCAATCCAATGCCCCACCAGACACGCCTGCATCAGAGACGCGAAAGAGGCAAAAGTATGACGCTCGTGCAGCGTCCGACATCAACGGCTCCAAACGTCGTCGGCACAAATCAAGGTCTCCCAACGCCTCATCCACACCGGGGAACGGCTGGCTCAGCAAGCTTTTTGTGCAGTGTAAGTTCCACGGCTTCAGCTCTTTCAGCACAGACCTCTTACTCTCTCCCTCACATTGCAGTTTCTGTTGGCTTTTCACTCGTCGGCATACTGTCCTTCCTCAATCTGGTGGTACTGGCGCCGATCAACCTGCACAACTTTGGTCTCGGCCGGTCGTTTGCACGCATGACCTCGCGCGGTCGAGGTGGCGCGGGAGGCAGGAACGCCAACCAGGACGGCGTGAATATCGCGTCGGTGCTCATCGTGCTGCTCGTCGTCATTGGCGTCGTGCGCGCGTTGCACGTGGTGTATCGCCTCGTGAAAAAGGTGGCGAGAAGGGGTTTGAGTAGGTTGGAGGAGGTCATTGTCGATTGGAATCACGAAGATGAGCTCGCACACAACTAGCATGCTGCCCCTCTCAAAGCCTACTCTTTACCGCCATGCACTGCGAATTTAAGCTTTCTCTGTCGGCCCCGTTCTCAAATCTGACACTGTGCACGCTTTGTAACAGCCTGTGCCGCGGAGAAGGGCGAAAAAAGATGCTGAGTGTGATGCAATGCTGAAAAAGCGCGGAGGGTACAAATACAAATGTCGTGGCGTCATGGGCTGGTCGGCGCTGGCCAGCGCTGGTGAGTGTTGAGATTTAGAAGAAGAAGTCCTGAGCGTCTTGCTCGGCGGCGTGATCCGTGTCGTCTTGGTCGGTGAGCATCTTGACCATGTAGGGTCCTTCGAGCTCGTAGCCTAGCCTGCGGTAGTAATCTCTGGTGCCGACACCCGAAATGACTGCCAGCTTGCACGAGCCGTGTTCGTCCCTGGCGATGCGCTCGGCCTGTTCCATGAGGAGCGTGCCGAATCCCTGGTGTTGAAACTTGGTCGGGTCGCGCGAGTGGATGGGCACCGCACTGCCGTACGTATGCAGCTCGCGCACGATCGAGCACTGTCCATCCTTGGTGAGCTCCGGTCGATACGTTCCTGCCTTGGAGCACTTTCGCAGCCGCAACAGCGCGATCAGGATGTCCTTTTCGGGATCCTCGTACGAGAGGAAGCTCTCCCAGCCTCCATTGGCCGTGTAGTCGCGTCGGATGAACTCCACCTCCTCCGGCCGCACTTTGGTGTGGATCTCGTGCAGACCCACTTCGCGGTACCTGACGTCGCGACAGCTTACTCCGAAATCGCGCATGCGCTCCAGCGCCAGTTCGCGCAGGTTGCCGTTCTCCACACCCGACGACACCAGCGGCATGGGAATGTCGCGCTGCACACGGTACACGCGCGTCCACGGCGGCACCAGCGCCAAGATACGTGCGATGAGATCGACCAGGAACGACGGCGTGTAGTTCTTGTACCTTCCCGTTCGCCACAGCTCGTACAGCCCCGTGCCGCGGATCACGAGCGTAGGGTAGAGCTTGAGCCCGTCGGTTCGGAATGCCGGATTCTCGAAATACTCCTTGAACTGCTCCATATCGCGCTCCACGCCGACGTTGGGCAGATCGGGCATCATGTGCGCTACGATCTTGTAGCCGGCGTCCTTGGCGAGCTGGAAGGTCTCGCACACCGCCTTGACCGTGTGGCCGCGGTTGGTGTCTCGCGCCACATCCTCGTACACGGACTGCACGCCGATCTCGAGTCGCGTGCATCCGTACCGGAGCATCTGCGACAGATGCGGACGGAGGCAGTAGTCTGGTCGCGTCTCGATGGTGATTCCGATGCACTTTGTGAGTGCGCGCTCCGAGTACCTGACTGCCTCGTCGACGTCGTTGCCGTTGAAGCCGCTGAGCGCGTTGTGCAGCTGTGCGATGAACTGGTTACGGTACGTTTCGGAGAGCGACATGAATGTGCCGCCCATGATGATGTACTCGACCTTGTCGACGCTGTGACCGAGTTCGCGCAGCTGCTGGACGCGGTTCTTGGACTGCTCATACGGGTCGTACCTGGCGCGAATGGCTCGCATCGACGTAGGCTCGTATCCTGTGTACGACTGTGTGCTGTACTCGAAGTCCGAGTCAGGGCCGCCGGGACAGTAGACGCAGATGTTTCCGGTGAGCGCGATGTGCGGGCATCGGTGCGGTTTGCACATGACCGCGACGACGGCGATACCGGAAGCGCTGCGAACGGGCTTTGCCTTGAGTGCGGGGACTAGCGCCTTGCGATATGCCTCGGGGATGGCGGCGATGATGTCGGTGAGACGCGGAACGCCATTGAAGCCGTACCTCTTGCAGGTCGTGGTGCGGATGTGGTTGAGCGAGACGGATGCGGAGCGGTCGTGCGCGTCGACGAGCTGGGCTGCGATGTCGGCGCACACGCGGAGCAGCAGCTCTGCGGTGTTGGGAGACGCACCCATTGTGCTCGTGTGTGCTCCTGAGCGAGAGGCGACAGAGAGTCGGCAAGGATGAATGTCGGAGTGGCGGTGAGGACGAGAGGGGGATAGCGAGCCAAGGTGTGGAGCATCCTAAGCCCACCCACCAAAAAAAGTGCTGGCGTCACGAACCTCGGCACTCGGGAATGCCAGCCAGGGCGGCCCAGAAAGAGAAGGCTGACAGCTGAGAAAAAGGCGGTTACCATAAAGGGCAATTTTCGAAAAATAGAGAAAAAGATTCTCATCGGAACCGGGCAGAGGGGCGCGGTATCAGTGTGGTCCAGTCCAGTCTCCCGTCATGGGACCAAGCATTTTTTCATTGGCAAACCGAGGCGGCAGCAGCAGCAGCAGCAGCAGCAGC